TATCCCGGTATAGTGAATGCTCTAGAAAATTTCCCCCAAATTTCCATAGAAAGCGGCCTCACTTCCACATTCACATAGGTGAGACTATCAAGGATATTCCTGTAGCTAGATATCCCACTCAATATAGAGTATGGATCTCATTAAGAGTTATAAATAACTCAACCTTATATCGCTTCAGGATTTCATGCTTCTAAGGTTGGACATGGAACAATACTAGCATGACTTCACTCATATCACTACATGACTTGTTATTACCCATTGAACCTATTTATTGGGATTTCCATTCTATAGGTTGGGTTACCATCACAAGTGACTCAACTTTCCAGGGGTTTTAGTTCTATTCCTTTTGAGGTTTTCAAAACATTTTCTCGTGCTAGTCCTTTCGTTAAAGGATAAGCTAAATTCTCATCAAACCATACATAATCCACTATTATAGTGGATAAGAATAGTTGGTTTCGATCTCTCCCACAAGGGGGTATCTAACAGTAAGTTTCTCAACCAACTTGCTTTCACTAGCCATTGATAGAGCTATCATCTCTGACTCCATTGATGATTGAGCTAGAATAGTCTGTTTCTTAGACTTCCAGTAGCCCTTGAATCATCTGACATGGTATTCCAATCAACATCGCTATATCCTTCTAGGACCGCGGGAAACTTCTCAAAGTTTAATCCAAGGTTCATCGCCCTTTTAAGGTACCACATGACCCCCAACAGCATACCAATGCTCCAGACTAGGTCCACTTGTAAACATGTATATCTATCAAGAATATTTGCTAGAACGTTGCGCACGCAAATGATTAGTAGATTTCATCTTAATATCATTAGAGATCACATGTGCATTACTATATGTTAAAGTATAACATAAATTCACTATATATCAATTCATATAATCAAAAATACCTCTCAAATGTCAGTACTCGTTAAAATATATCAATTCTTTAAGTGCACCTGTTGAAGCTTTCTTTATATGCACTTCAAGTGGCTACATGGCATATTCAAGTTGTCACTGCACCTTCTCAATTCTCAATAGAAACCCTTTAAGACAATAAAATGTCTCCACCAAAATTTAATACAAAGAATGTCATTAGTCACACCCACTTTCATATCAAGATGAAACACAAATTAGTCACAAAATAATGTTGCATGATATAAGAAATTTTCACATAGATATATTGGCATGTTTACCAAAATAAAGTACTTACTTATTAATTAGATAGGTTATTAAATGAATATAACAAATCCCCACATTTTCAAATGGAAAATGTTAGGCTTACTAGAATTCTCAACCCCCACTAGTTGTGGAAATTCTCAACCTTTACAAAATAAGAAAACTCCCGAAGTATATTAAAATGGTACTCAAAAAATTATTTTCAAATTTCATAGGATATGCCCTAATCAAAAGTCATCTTGATAACCATAACAAATATAATAATGAAATCATCGAATGCTTCACAAAAAGGAAAAGTAGCATGATTCACACACCTAATAGGCTAATTATGCTTCAAAGGTTGTATGGGTTGAAACCCTTACACCAAAACTCAAAGTTAAATACCACTTACACTGATATAATTTATCATTTTATTTGAGTATTCTCCATATACCCTCCACGGCAACTAACTCAAGTGGCTGCTCTCAAAGTCCCTTTTTATCAAAGCAAGTCCACTGCCAAACGTTAGTTTTTAATGAGTCCGAACGAATTGATAGAAAATCATCTAGTGAAACCCATTAATTCCTTCATCAATGTATTAGCAAAATTGAAAAATACAATAGATTAAAACCAGCTTTTTATCAAAGCAAGTCCACTGCCAAACGTTAGTTTTTAATGAGTCCGAACGAATTGATAGAAAATCATCTAGTGAAACCCATTAATTCCTTCATCAATGTATCAGCAAAATTGAAAATACAATAGATTAAAACCAAACTAAATGATATGAAGAATTGAAGAGCTCTCAACGTCATACTGTATATGACATAAATTGACTTTTAATAGTCTGCAATACAAATATAAATATAACTCTCTAGAATATATTAACCCCCAAGATATTCAACTGCCAATATAAAAAGAAAACTTCTGTTTTGTAATTGTCATAAAATTCAATTCCCAAAGTTCAAAGGAAAAGCCAACAGCTAGAAGCAATAAATCAAATATAACAAACCAATAAGCTTATTAGGAGTTACTGAGGTAGAAATCACTTATCTCATGTTCATACCAACCATGGGTATTGCCAAAGCCAAAATTGCCAAAATCGAACCATTAGCCAACGAGATTAGATAAATATTTAGTCTTGCTACCACAGTGTCCTTCAATATGCAGGAATTAGTTACCCGCCGGAAAATACATGAATGATTATGGAAATAATTTGAGTAGCATCCAAAATCTGCTTTTAAAATTGGTTCCCAACATCTATGGCAAATAGAATGTCTTAAAATTGTTGGTGCATAAATTAAATTAAGAGAACAATATTACTCGGAAAATACAATATGTAGCTATGAACGATTCTTGGGATGAGTCGCGAAATAAGTCGCTCTCTTTAAGACGGCTCTGCCCAATTTGTGCAAGCAGTTCAAAAAAGGCCACTACGTCCCCAGGATAAAACAACCCCAGAATCTCCTCTATCTAGGTACTTCCTTGCACTGAGGAAGGATTCGAATACAAACACCTTTCTATGTCGCTCAGAAAACTTAGTTTAGAAAATAAGAGAAAGATATGAAGGGGAAGAAAGCAGCAGCTATCGTCTGTATCTTTTTCTCTCCTAGCTATATCACATATATATACATGATATACCACAAAAGAGACATTGGTGGACTTTAAAGACAGTAGACGCATCAATTGAGAAAATCAGCCCATATTAATATAAAATAACTCCTATTAATAAAGGTAATTTAAGGCAATTATTGAATTATTGAATTATATATATGTTTTTAAAATAAGCATACCAATTTCCACAACTTCTGCTCATATACTTCCTGTTGTTAATAGAGCAATATATTAGAAACCAATTCTAAATAGTCTCCTACTCTTTCTTCTTCTCTACAATCATACAATTTCCTTAGAGTAATTTCTAAGAGAATTCTTTATGTTTTTGCCATTCGCATATTCCATACTTTGTTGTATCTTGGAAGTGGTCTTCCAAGAACCCATTAGCAAACTCACTGACACTTTAAGGAAACAATTCAAATCGTACCTCAAAGTCATCCTTCATATTTCAGTTTTAACTTGACAAGGCCATGCTGCGAGTTTGGTATCAGAGCATGTTTAGCACTATAATAGGATACTTGGAATAATAAAGTACCTATTTATACATCTTCTAGACAATACGACTTAATCTTGATGTTGTTTTTACTATGAAACACTTACAAGCATACCTTTCTTATTTGTATGGTTCGATCTTGGTGGATCCCCGTTAGAATTAGAGAAAGTCTAAGATAGCTTAAAAGATACAAAGTTGAACACGAAGCATAAATTAGAAATTTAGAAGAGTTATGAAAATACTGATATAGAGGAAGCAGAATTTTAGCAGTGTAGGAGAAAATCAGAATAGTAATAAAGTTGGAACAAGAAAAAACAAAACCTTCTTTTAGGCTCAGGAAGATCGCTAATTTCAGCTTTCAAGAGCTCGGAGAGAATTTGTTCAACATCATCATCAAAGGGACCTCTTTCCACTCCTTTTAACTGTGAGCCATTTCAGTCATTTATTTTCCTTGCCATTACTAAATTTTTGTCAATTTTATCGAAACGTAGCCATAGACTCTTCTTTCGCTTCATCCTTGGAGTTCTTGTTTTGCGAGAACTTGCCGTTCAACATTGCATGCCTTTGAGACTAGCATGTCAAATGTGCGTGGCCTTCTTGGAGTGCTCACTACGTATATCTCAGGTAGGAGATTACTGGGGCACATACATACTGTGAATTGCTTGTTTAATTTTTTCCATGCATTGGAGGTTAAAATTCATCCATCCTGCGACGAATTCGTTAACGCTTTCATTTCGTTTTGACTTCCTTTTTGAAGCTTACAAATTGTGCTAGAAATGCCCTTACATGCCTTTCCACTTAATGATGGATCTGAGTGCCAATTGGGTAATACCCAGTAAAGACTCATTATTCAAGAAATTGAACAATTTTAAAAAGTAAGGACTGATTCTTTAATATTGCTGCTATTTCTACCACATTGCTATCTACTGCTATTTCTACCATATAGCTATCTACTCTAATACAGCTAAGTCCCACGTACATTAGTGGAGCCCAGATGGTCCGCAACGTGGTCAATAAATGTATTACAGATAATAAATTTTTTTTCAGTAATTAAAGGTGCACGCTACCTTGATAGCCCAGGTGAGCAAGTCGCCAATTCATATCAACCCTCCATTCAGTTTTTACTGAAGATTAATCATATCTGAAGATTTCAAAATGCATGCTCAGACGTCACAAATATGCACATCAATAACCAGACAGGATCAAATAGATGAACCTAAATCTTAGAATATCCCCTGAAACCTAATACATTATCAGTTTTTCCTTTTTCACAACTAAGGTTACTTAAACGCCCACAGGTTCAAAGGAAAACACCATCATGCCATGATATTCCTTTGTTGTCAAAAGTCAAATTTCATTTCTAAAAGCAGGTCCCGATTTAAACTCCAATCGGACCCTGAGATTTATGACTCAGGTGAAACCCTATCCCAGTCCACATCGACTTCACAAAAAACAGTCCAAAGTGAAAAGCCGGACAGGGTGCTTGGGAAAGCATGTTCGAGGAAGATAACTGAAAAGCCAGAAAGGGTCATTGTGCAAAGTGAATTCCCCAAAACACTAAAAATCAGGTTTTTCAAGTGAATGAACAAAAACATTAAGCCAAATATACCATCCAAGGTCACCTTGAAAAGACAACTCATCTACATTCCAATAACTGACAGAAGTTTTTCTTATGTCTCAAACAACCAGGTCGGCGCTCTGATAAGAGGCCTACTAGACAATTCAAAATATACACAAGAATGGTAAATAGCAATAATACACATTAAAAACATCAATCCAGTCTTCGCAAAAGTAACTATAGTGAGCATGTTTCAGCTAAAACCCTAGATAAACTTCACCCAAAAAATACTAACGAGTTCCTAAAATACAAACCTTATCCAGGTCCCTGATAACATTTACTTCATGTCGACGCATTACTACCATGCGAGCTTCAAACAATCTTTATTTTCAGATATATGAAACTTCATGGGAAGGCATTATACCAGATTCAGAGACAGGCGCATGCTACCATCAACTAGAGAAAGCGTGGACCTGTCTTTGGCACTTCCAGTTCACTCTTGGCTTTTATAGGGTATCTGCAAGCGGCAACGTAAGTTATGAATAAATCTAATACCATACAGGATCTGATCATTCTAAAAGTTGCATTTGACTAGATCAGCAAATCCAAACGGATTAACTTGGAACCAATCAATCCTTCAGTTTGGTGAACCGACTCAACTGTAACAAAAGAATGGAAGTGATGAACCACCCAGGAGATATTTATTTATGGCGAAGGACGAAAAGATCACATTAGACAGAGCATGAAAAGAGAGAAGATAATTGTTCAAATAGGGTTGGCAGCCAAAATAAAAAGAGACATTATTGAAATTGGATATTCAGGTGTTAAGTTGGAAAATCCAGATCATAGGTTGACATTGCACGTCAAATTACGTAGAAACCTTCAAAAGCAACTGAAAGCAGAACCCCTACAGCACTCCCTGCATTTTTCTTCTTCAATAAATTTATTCCACTAAGCACCCCGTTATCTCAAACTGTAAATTCAATTATCACAAGGATTGAAAGAAAATAAAGAAAGAAGAAAACTGAAAACAAAATGAAACCTATAAATATGGCAGAATTTAAGAACCATCTTATAAACCTCACGCACCATGCAAGGGCATCTTTCTTTGAGATTTACATGTCACAGAGTTACAGCTTCAGTTTTATAGTTTTATAAGTCTCTTAAGTTTCTTTTTATTTGACTCAAACATGGTTTGTATGATCACAATCAAAAGTCTGTCTGCTCAATTAGTCAACCACCACGAAATCATTTCCAGGGGTAACCAGAAAACTACAGACCAATCCTCCTTCCCATGTACAATAAAGAAAGAACTTGATGTGCACGAGGTTTAGACATGAGATTGATTCACTCTTAATGTGCATGTTAGTGTCAATGTGAGACCAGATTACATTGACAATGTTTAAACTGCAGAAGTAGAATTGTACCTTGCATTGAAGCTCCGTTATCGTAGACCTCAACAAAGTATCTCCCACAATCAACCTCAATTTTTTCACAAATTCATCACGGGTGATCTTTTTTGCCTGAAAAGATATCATCACAATCAAGCACATAAATGTGTCAAGAAAGATTTCAAAGAAAGAAAGTTAAAAAAATAAAAAGAGCGAGACGGAAAATAACAATATCAATCATACCCTGAATAAGTCATAATGAATATTAATTTGTTCCATATCTTTGGGAGGAACTTCATTTTCAATAGCAGCAAATAACATAGGGAAAGGCATCCAAGGGGATTTAGGGGTTCTTTCAGAAGTAGAACCAGTAGCAGTGGTTTCCCCCTGATATCTCCCAGACTTTGAAACCATTTGACCATTGCTTCCATGAGACTTCCCAGAATCCGAAATTGGCTGATTTTCACTCCCCTATGAGAATACATATGCTAATTGTTGAGTACCGTGGTTTATTAGAACTTCACAGTTAATAAAGGAAAGAAAAAAAGAGAAACAAAACTTTCTATGACAATATAAATTATTGTCAAAGTGAAAATGTAACTGTTACACGTAAAAAAAGTAGTTCAGTCACAAATAGGGTTGGCAGCCAAAATATAAGGCACTTGCAGTGTATAAATAATTCTTCGTACATCCAGAAGCACCCCACACACTTCTCTAGATGTTCAATACAAGTAAATACAAATATAAGACTTCATATAATCCATCACACTAATGCAAGTTCACCAGTGTTTGAATGACAATAATGGTCACTGAACATAGCAACAATTACATCTGCAACAACATGACATTCTATAATGAAAAGATTTGATGTCTGATGGCCCATAATGCTCAAACCTTCATTGTTAATCATATGTACCAATATGTGCACTGAATCTAAGCCGAGTGCATTTCATAACCGAATTTAATTCCCACATGTACCACATATTGCATAGTCAATATTGATCTTCAGGGTAGATGGCTATGTAAAAGCAAATGAATTACCTTCACTGCAACCAAAATAATGCATGCCAAAAATGCAAGCCATACTATTTACTATAGTGAAATTTTAATTTCAATGCAAAACCGGAAAAGCCTACCAAACTCCTCATAACTTCAGTTCAATTTATATAACAGCTAGAAAATGAGGCCTAAGCATCCCCACAGATTGGAACCTAGATCCCAAACATAAAAATCAAACTTCCAGGTGGCCGCCACATGGATTGGATGAACGTGAGTTACACTTCTAGAATTATACTATGTGAAATACTAAATGTAAGATTATAAAACAATAATGAGCATTTCAGCATATAATTGATTGAATAAAATACAAGGATCACAATGTCACACCCAAGAAGAAACAGAAAATATTCAAATTTTTAGCACGTACTGTGTCAACTGCTGATGATTCCAATTGCATCAAGCCCTGAGGTCCATGGCAAGATGTCGCAACCCCGGAAACACCAAGCTTATTCTCAGTCCCAACCAAATGCCCTGTAAAAACATCAATTACCAGTTCTAAAGTAATAAAAAAAAAGTTTCATAAAATGAAACCATGGTATTCATACAGCATTTGTAGAAGATACAGCCAGCTGTCTCATTGATTCAGTAGTTGGAAGGTGATTCATGATTCATCTCTGGGATTTAGTCACAAATCCCAACCATGAGTTGATGTCTATGAACAATGGATGAAGCCCTGTTTGCTTAACTAACTCCTAAACATTTTCCGTCCACATTGAAATAGAAATTGGGATGATATGAACTAGTTTGTTTCTGAGTCGTACAATTAGTAGCATATACAAGGACACACAGGTTCTTATTAAAGATTAGCAAAAAAAAAAAAAATACAGGAAGCTCTGAGGAGTAGAGTATCACCTTCACTCTTCGATGAGACCTTGAAACTTACAACAAATTCTGGGTATATGTGTGTATTCATGTTCATATTCCAGACAATGTAATGTTTTGGATCCTGAAGATCATCCACTCCACTATCAAAGTCCTTGCTACCGGGATGGAATTGTTTACTTCCAGGGTGAAGTAACTCCATATTTCCCACTATGACACGACAGAATAACATGTGTCGTGCCCCGTTTTCGTCAACATCACAATAACTTGCACTGTTAACAAATGAAAAGTTCATTCCTTCTCGGATAAGCATGCTAATAAGAGTAACCAAATGTAAAACCAACCATAAGAACAATAAATCAAACTATCAGAAAAGAAATTTTCTTAGCAACCAATATCAATAACTTCTCATAAAGCCAGCAGTGCCATATAATCATAACAATTCAATTCAAAAACCAGCAATGCCCTTAAGTCAATTAATACATTTATCATAGAGGAACATCCCACAAGGTGTAGCTAGATCTACCAATGCATTAGATGATGAACAGTGTGAATACCATCTCCATTACTTCACACTAATCATGTCCAGCCCTTACTACCATCCATTACAGTGCAGAAAATGTCACCAACAGTTATTTACCAAATTGCACAAAAGAAGCCAGCTAAGCCAGGCACCTCAAGGCACATTAAAAATCATCCGTTGTTATTCCCTTTGCCATCTCATTTGACAAAGCATTTTTATATATGACAGAAAGTAGCTAACCCCACCCCAGGAAGACTAACTCCTTTCAGATATCTCATCATTCATATCGAGGTTATAAACATAATTCACACGTGAAACAAAAATTGTAAAGGACGGAAAAAACCCCACTAACCAGGTGTTAGAGAAGCTAGCTGCTGTGAGATGAACACCAGTGCCATATATGGACTTGTTTGTCGCTAGTCCACAATGACCAAGCCCATACATCATTATAGTCGAAAGCTCTCCCTTTGAAGAAGAAAGCCAAGCATATCGTACATTTGCATCACCACGAAATGCTTTAGTAATTTCTACCTGCTTCTGAAAAAGTTCCAAACGAGCTTGCATCAGATTACTTGAGCATTGGTATATATCAAGTACTTCTACACCATCAAAGGTGCTCACTCCTTTCAGAAATATATTTTGCACCATATCACAATCCAACTTTCCATTTTCAGTGTCAGTTGCTCTAGTTAAATTCTTCTTCATCTCTTCATTGCCCTCAACATCTTCATCAACTTTTAGACCATGTTTCCTGTTGCAACTATTTTCAACTTCCATACCAGCACAATTATTGGCAGGTATGTGATCAATCTGAATTTTCTTTACAAAACCATTTGACTCCCCACTACATTCATTCAACCCAGATTGACCCACTCCATTTATTTCAATTTCCAGGTGCAGTCTAATCTCATGCGACCCACAATGATCTTCAACCCAGGGTTCCAGATCTTTCACACCTTCAGGTAGGCAGTTCCAACTTGGCTCATCATCCTCCTCAGCATAAATTTCAGGAAAGAAACAACTACCAGTTTCATCAATCCAAGCAATAGGTTGCTGTAGGCCAGTCTTCAAGTCCAAACGGAACATATGCAAAAAATCTAGCAAATAATGTTCACCTTGTGATTTGATGTTCATAGCTGCCTTCTTCACCTGTAGATCTTTCCTAACCAAGTCAACAAGATCCCGAGGAAAATCAGTCCATTCACCATTCTGATAAAACATCAGACGCTGTGGCACACTGCTCCTTGCAAAATTTGAATAAGATGCAAGCAAGGATCGTCTAAAACGAGGTCCACAGCTCATGAGCTTGCTTTTGCTTCCATGCAATTTCCTTCGCTTGCCAAGCTTATTCAAGTTCGGCCTCTGTGGTAACGCTCTGTGGGTAGCTCCAGGACAATTTGCAGCATACCGAGTTGCCCGCTTTCTCTTTAAGTCGAGCAGAACTCTACGACCACTATCCAATGCCTTTGCGATCTTTGGGTCCATTTCTGTCTACTAGACCAATAACTATCAGCAAGTCTGAATCCAAAAGCTCGAAAACAAAATTAAGACAGAACTCTAGCTCCAACCATTGTTAGAAGCCAACCCATCAAAGATAATTTTCAAATCCTTCCTGGGTGAGAGAAAACATTAAGAATATATGATTACACACATTTAATCAAGTTTACAAATAAACTCTGACATAATAGATAAACAAAGTTAAATGACCACCAGCCATAACATGCATCATTATGACACCAAATCATTTAAAACCATATACAACTGATATATAACTTGAGTATGTCAATAGTTCGCTGCATAATTGAGTAGATTAGCATTCTTGTAATTAAAGAACTTCTACAAAATGAGGAACAAGACTGAAAAAGTAGTCATGGTACAGTAACTGTAAAATCAGCATCGCATGTTGGGTGTTCAATGGTGATGAGAAGGAAGAAGCATTTAGAAGCTTATTAGTCTCATCCTTAAAGGAGATACAACCTAGGAAAGACAATCAATTCATTGACATTCCTCATGCCTCATAATTTGTAAAAAACAAAATTAAAAAATTCATAGCAATTTCTAAAGATTACAAAGAGAAGAAAACCAACCTTGTACCTAACAGCAGATTGACTTATAGAGATGACTTTAACACAAAGTTATTAAAAAAATTTAAAAAGAACCAGTGAGAGAAATTCAGAAGGAAAAAAAACCCATGTCAAAAGCTCCGCCAATCCGCTGTTCATTAATAGAGGAAGCTCTCATTATCATCTCGTGCCAGATGTAACAAAGGATTCATCCTTTTTCCTTCACACAGGAGCGCCTAGTGCTCCTCAAAGAGAATTTTCCTTTCAGGGTCAAGCACATAAGAAAGGGCTGGCCCATCAAAAGCCCGGTTGTTTCGCAAACAAAGTTCAGAATCAATAAGGGTTCGTAGAACAAAGGGGAACACAACTGGGGCACAGCCCCACTTTTTTGTTCGTAACGAGTGATAAAATGGTGTTCTTCACGAAGTTCAAGACAAAGGAATACAAAAGGGCCCAATATAAAGTCTTGGGTAAATCAAACTTGATAAAAACTACAAAGACTGAAACTGGTTTAAAAAAACCTATAAACAAATTCCAGTCAGCAGACAACAAAGAGCGAACATCCAAAACCAAAAAAACATATATGTATATTGGAGCAGACAGCAAGGCTCCAAAAACCAACACAAGGCCTAAGAACAAAAATTTTGTTGTGCTTCGCATGCTAGTAGTCATTCTCCCGAAAAGTGGATTTGATTTGAACCCAATTCAATCAAGTCTAAATACATTGCACACATATCTTGAAAGGTAGCGTTGATGTGATTTAACTTCGAAGTTTTCATTAAGACGACAAGTTGTCCACTGGTCTAGCTAGTGGAATGCTAGCTGAACATCAAAGTGACATCATAAGAAGTCTTTACAAACCGGAGAAAGACATTACAACCATCATCGCTGGGTGGCCCAAGCCCAAAATTTTAAATACTGCGGATACAACAAAAATTTCTGTTGAAATTTCGGTAAAATGATTTCCAGACTTTCTCTGATATTCGGGAGAAAATTTAGTGCTTTAGACTCTCAGTATAATTTTGGTGTTCTGGTGAAAATTCGGTCATGTCATACCCACCAGTGGGTACTCGGGGTTCAAAGAAGAAGTTTAGCTTTCTACATCTGATATGTTAGAAGAAGAGCGAATGAAGAAATAGAAGGAATCAGAAGGATAACAAGACAATAGACTGTTCAGTACCTGATTTTTTTGGCACGCTTCAACAAAGAGAAAGAACTAAAATCCACATGCTAGATAAATAGTACCCCACTTTAGAAAGGGTTGCTAAATTGGGTTTGGGTAATAGTACCCCTGTCGGGTTTTGTTACAATTGCAAACTTAGGCCGTGCTAAAAAAAATAGCTCATATCTTAAATATCCCATGTTAAGCTCATCCAAAAAATAACAATCAGTAATACTAATACTGCAAATTAAATGATAAAGCCCATATTATTTTTAAATATTCTAAGAAGATGCAGTCCATCTTAACTAATAAAACTAATTTGTTAATTCAACAACTGATATGAAAGTTATAATAAATTCTACACAGATATGTTCCTAAATAAAAACAGGGAAACTAATAAACAGGAAGAAAACTATTGACAAAAATCTGCTCCAAAGACTCAATCCAACCATAAAGATAAGATTAAATTATGTGATTTCTTCTTCCATCTCTTTCATCAATAAACCTAAAAGGGTTTGACAATGATGTCCTCAAGGGCGTTCCTGAGGCGTTTGTGAGGCAAGCATCGAGGCAATAAAGTTTTGCATCATCCAATTACCAACAATAAAATAGAGCATTCTCAAAGGCATTTGTGAGGCGAGCATCGAGGCAGGGCAAGCCGTCGACAAATCGTCTTAGGCATGCTGTCTTTTAGATAAAGTCACAAAAAGCATAAGGCTGCGTCAGGCACAAGTTATTTTTCAGAGGCAGCATAAGGAACATGCTGTTTTCAGAGGCGGTGACGAGTATACTGTGAAAACGTTTTGAGAGTTTCGAGAGGAAGGAGATTTAAAGAGATGTGGCAAAGATTGTTGTTTTCGCATTAAGTCTTCTCCTTCAATGAAACGGTGTGTTTCATATTTCCTGTGGTTGTTAGTGTACATGTCACAGCCCATGGTTTTACTTTTTTAGACATGATATGCAGGCCTATGGCACTTTCCTTCAAACCAAGTGAAAACAGTAAGATTTTGGGAAGATGTGTGGCTGGGAGATTCGACTTTGGGGGAGAGATTTCCACGCCTTTTTCGAGTCTCTCGTAAACAAAATGCCAAAATCGCAGACATCTGTATAGACAGGAATGCCCTTCCACTAAGCCGGGACTTTGGGTTCCATAGGAACCTAAGGGACAAGGAACTTCAGATTGGAACAGGTTGTGTTGGTTCAAAGTAGGTGCGACACCAGAATTTGGAATTTGGAGTCCTCAGGAGTATTCTCCTGTAAATCCCTTTCTAGGCACCTGATGGTAAACCCCCACCCAAATCTCTGCTTTCCTCCATCTGTAATTTGGAAATCTAAAGCTCCCCCTAAGGTAAAAGTATTAGTTTGGCTAATCGCTCACGGCAGAATTAATACATGCGACTTGGTCCAAAGGAAAAGACCCGGCTGGTACTTTTCTCCTAATTGGTGTGTTCTGTGCAAAAAAGACAGTGAAACTGTGGATCATCTATTTTTGCTATGTCCTATTGCCTCATCCCTGTGGGCTAAGCTATCCCAGGAGACAGGGATAACATGGGGAAACTTTGCAACTTGTAGTGAGGTGTTTGAAGCTAGATTTAGATTCTTTGGTGGGAAGAGAAAGGGTTCAGTGTTGGGAAATTGTGCCATGATGGCAATCTTTTGGGTAATTTGGGGGGAAAGGAATAGGAGAACTTTTGAGAATGCGGTGGGGGACGAGGTAGAGCTGCTATGGGATCGTATCCGAGTCTGGGCATCTCTTTGGGCTTCTGCTTCAGCAGAGTTTAAGGAAATTAGCTATCAGCTTATCCAACTAGATTGGAAAGCAGTAGTTTTGTAGTGCAGAGATTTTTCTTTCTGTTTGTGAGGTGGCCCCCTTGGACATCTCGTGCACTATTGTGTTTTAGTCCCTTTTGAAATATACTGTTTCTTTTCAACAAAAAAAAAAGTGAAATGTGGCCCAACAAGTATTTTTTACTCCTGAGAGACATAAAAACCTAATAGTAAATTAAATAAGAGTTGTAATACACTAATACTGCGCAAAATAAGAGCTAATACTTAAAGATTAATAATAAATGTCAAAAGAAAATAATCACCAAATGTATAATATACACTTACATAGCTTGTATATTATTCTTTAAATTATAATCATAGATGTCTTGATAAGCTTACGAACCAAAGGCTTACGCGTAGCGAAACCATAAACATTTCACTTTTTAAAACGTTGATAAAATGTGATATGGCAACTATGTAGTTTGTATTTTGAATAGAAGTTCATGTGGCAGTGCTAAGGTAAACCCTTTGTCCATGTGCGAGATGAGGATCAAAGTGTTGAATCCCCTCTCCCTCCACAAAAATAATCGATAATTCATCAATGATTACCATCTCAGAGCATGCCATCCTACATGTCTCTACTAAAACCCAAAGCCTCCAAATGATTACTACCAAAGGACTCTTTTTACTGAAATGTAGGGATCTTTTGTTATTCCTCCAATACTTCTTACATTGATTGTTAAGATGGTGTCATGCCTGTGGAGAGTACATGCAAAGTTGCCTTACGATAAGTACATGTGACCCTAAGGGTTTTAGAGGAGCTGGAACCAATGCGGTTTCAGCTGGAGAAGGATCGAGATCAACAAACGTTGTCGTTGTGATTGTTCTTCTTCCATTCTAGAAGAGTCTCAAACAATCTAATTTTAAAAGCTATCCACAAATTTTGAACATGCCACAAACAAAGATACAACATCAAACAAATCAAAGCAGATTCAGCATAGATTCAACATAAACATCAGCCCACAGCCCACAATCAAGCATCAAATTCAATTAATTAAAAGGAGTAATAATCAGCGTACAATCAAAATTCAAAGTTCAAAGTTCAAACAGCTCAAACAGATAAACAGACTCTAATCACGAAACCAATCACACAGGAGACCAAATTTCAACAACAGATCAAGCAAAAGAAGGCAACAGTTACCTCAATCCTCAAAAGGACAGCTCCGTAACCCACGGTGCAATCAAGACTGAGGAAGGAAAAAAAATTGGTTGATATATGACTTCAATAAAAATTAAAAGGTATAATTTGTAAACCAAAAAATCAAATTAAAAATAAAAATCCGGTTTACCCTCTTACAATCAAAGATCGGCTTGCTAATCGCTTCAATTGCTTCCATTGCTTCACAGCCTTCAATAGTAATTTGTAAGACAGAAATAAGGTTAGGAGAAACCGATCGGGATCAAAATTAAGGATTTGGGGAAGATGAGGAGCAAAGCAGCGCAACTGAAAGAGAAAAGGAGATAGAGGAGGTAGGGCAAAACCGTAAATTATTTACACAGTTGAAAGCTGAAGCGAAGGGATGAAGAAAGACCGACTCTGAGTGATTCTGAAGGAGAAGACGAAGAGGAAACGGCGTCGTCGTGATGGAGGAACGGCCGCAGTGCGACGGTGCTAGGGTTTCTGATGGGCGAAGGGTAAAGACAGAGCAGGCGCTATCTTGACATGTAAATTGCGGATGGGAGGGGTTGCGTGGAGGGGATGAAGACCTAGAAGGTTCTGATCGGGTGTTGTCGGCGTACAATAAGAGTCACCAAGACTATGACACGTGCCAATAGAAAATGAAAGTAATTCATTAATTATATAATATAATAATATGCCTAAAAATCCCCTTCCAGGAGAAATTATACAATAGTACGATCCCCTTCCAGGGGTCAAAAGCCTTGGCCGCTAATTTCCCAAAAATCTAAACATAGAGGGAAGCGTGGAAAAAATTGAATTCTTTTACAAATTAAATATTTTAATTGAATGAAAATGGTGTGTGATTTGATGGGTTGTGCATGTTCATGAATGATAGGTTGTATCTGTTCCTTCTGTCTTCAAGAATAGACACACTTTTTTCTAAACTGTCACTTATGTTGTAGCAAAATTCCTCTTACATGAATTAAATGAAGAACTTCACCATACTTTAATTATTCCTCGAAAATTACCTGCAAAATAAGAACAATCAATTGGATAAACACCATAATGTTAGCCAAAGGCTCTCCGATGCTTAGGTCGCAAAAATTATCTCAAGGATGTGTGTTTATTCATGAACGTTGCAAGAGAATTTTCTCATAAAAAGAGAGAATAATAATTGATTCTGAGATCATGATTTGATTATTGATTACTTTTTTTGTGCATTATTCTTGGCTATAAATATGGGAAGAATCATGAAGCCATTCTTTGAATTATCAAAAGAGAATAATTCCTTTATGCAAGGAATTATCCATTTACCCAAGCATCCAAGCTTTCCTTAATTTATGGAGATAAGCTATATTTTAGGCTCCATTAATTAGCTAATTAAATGAAGATTTAATTAACATAATTAATGTGACCAAGGGCAATCTTGACCTTGATATTAATATCCACGTGGCACCACCGGAGTGGTCATGAAATTATTTGCTCCCAAATGCCCTTCAGCTTATGCATGTCATGTGTGGTGCATGTAAGACATGAAAAAATTGAACTTGTTGTACTCTTTGAATTCCAATTATTATTGGACTGCTCATAAAGAAAGGATCTTTGAAATCCAATTGTTGTTGGACTCCTCATAAAAATCTTTGAATTCTAATTATTGCTGGACTCCTCATAAAGAAAGGATGTGGTTTATCTCCTTGTTTCCTTCTTGATCAAGAATACTCAAGGGATTAAAACCCTAATCACTCCCCTTGTGCCGCACCCCCTATTTATTTCTCCCTTATTTGACTTCTTGCAAGGACAAGAAACAAAGGGAGAGGCTATGCATGTTGAGGAGAGGGAGAGAAAGAGAGAGAAAACCAATCGCATTCCCCTAGTAAGCTGTGGTCTGATCGACCTCTTTTTTTCGTTCATTTTTTTTAAACCGAGACCCATCATCAGTTTTTTTTACTCTTACCGTGAGTTACCAGCAGGTGAGCGGGGTCTTCTCCTCCATGTTGGTATTTTTTACTTGATTTCAAACTATGATCATCTTCTTCTTATTATAGTTGCTTTGACACCATGTCGTCTGATGAAGGAAGCCAATCATCTAACTCACAAGCTCCTTTATATCTGTTTGGTGGCCTACAGAAAAATATTCATAGCCAACATGTACCGCATCACTCATGAGGCACAATTTCAGAGATGGCGATCTCAGTTTTTTACAGCTTTCCGTACTGGTGTGAATGTGAGCTTGGCTGAACTGTTATCTGAGGCTGCGAACAGTATGGACTCGGATGATCCAAATGCGAGGATAATCACATTCCACCCATTCTATTTCTCTTTGGGATTCAAGTTTCCCATATCTAGGTTTTTCAAGGAAGTGTTTCATGTCATGGGGTGCGCTCCATGTTAGTCTACCCCAAACGTTTATCGTGTTGTGATGTGCTTTGACAATTTGAGCCGCTTTTTCAAGTTGGGTCTCACCTTGCAAGAATTCTTCATTTTCTTCAAAGTGAGGCGCAATGAAAAGTTTGCTCAGCTCCACTCGTTCAGGGAAAGATTGTTTGATAACCTCAATTCAGGTGACCACGCATGGAGTGTGGATGTGTTTGCCACGGTATGTCTTGGTTTGCTGATCTGCTTTACTCACATATTCAAAGGTTTTTGTTGTATATGTGTTCATGTGACTGACTGCCATATGTCTTCTACGTGCAGTTGATATGATCACAAAAAGGATTGACACCTAGTCAGACATGGCTAAAGTCCGCCAGGCCTTAAATATTTCGCAAAGATTACGTGAATGGCGATGGCTATTGGGTGACTATAGACAAATGGAAGGCGGCTTGCCCCTAGTTGAGGATGTTGAAATGTGGAAATAGTACGGACCTGATCTAGATGATCAGCTCAATGCAAGAGCTGAGTCTTCGACTGATGTTTCTGGAAAGAAGAAGCATGTTCTCAAGGATTCCAAGAATGAAGCTGCAACCTCCCGTGCTAGAAATGTGTCTCCTCTAAAGAAAAAACAAAGACTTCCTTATGTTGTGATCAAGCCTTGTCCAAAAGAGACCTCACCTGCTGAAAGATTGTGGAAGGTAGTGATGATCTGCCCAGGAGGACCTTGAATGAATCTAGCATAGCTGGAGACTCCTGCATCACTAATCTACTCAAGACCAAATTTCTATTAATCGCATCTGCATGCGTTGGGTTGTTTGATCACTTATGTCAAGCTGCTAACTTTGGCGAATATATGAATTTTTCCTCCGAAGAGCAGAATGAAATCATTGACCTACTTCAAAAAGGTGTGATTTTTGTTTCGGAAGCTATTCGACACTTATCTACTGTTGCCCCCCTCTTCTGCTCAACTTGAAGAGTTAGGGAGGAAAAATTATGCATAGTATGTTGAAATTGTCTTCACAAAAGGTGAGCTTGTTAAACTGAACTCTGTGGCTTATCAACTTTCAATTAAGTAGAAGTGTCAAGAAGCCAAAAATTCAAAGACTTCTGAGTTGGAGAAGACAATCTCTAATCTGCAAAGTTCTCTTTCTTTGAAGGAGGGTGAGTTTACGTCCTCCACAAATGCCTTGGATAATTAGAAAGAAGCTTGTCTCCAACTTGAGTGTGAATTTAATGAATTATCTCAAGGCTATGACGACGTGTAGGATGAGTTTGATGCTTTCTAGAAGACCACTCAAGAATCCAAGGATGAAGCTGTTGTTTATGCTTACAAGTTGGGGTACTTGGATTGCAAGAAAATGGCTGCTCCTTTCAACTCTATCAATGATGATGAGCAAGATACTGTTGCAGACAAGGATGTAGCTGAGGAGAATGCAACTTATGAGAATGAAGCTGAAGAGGACGCCAATAAGGGGGAGTCCCCTGCTGAAGACCCGAAGTAGAACAAGACTCCTTTTCTGTAGCTTTCTAGCTTTATTTCGCTTAGGGGAAATTACATTTTTGGTCACTTGGGTTAGGGTTGAATTTAATTTTGGCCACCCACTATATTTGCATCTGTTAGCAAATCACGTCAAATATTCAATTGTGTCAATTTCATTAATTAAAAAATATTAAATAATAAATAAATAAAACATTTCTCTCATCCTTCTTTGTCTCTTCCCCTTCTCTCATCCTTCTCAATAGTCACCCATACCACCTCCCCCACCTCTTCACAGCCATCACTGCCCACCCCACCTCCTAATGAAGGAGTGTCTTCCGTAATCAAAATCATGACCGAGAATTTCAGAAGTATTCTGAGTCGACTATGTAATTTATGGTACTTGTTCCAATCATGCAATTAGTGGCCAATTAATTGAAAGCATTAAGAACGATAACAAGCACTCAACATGTATAGATAAATAAAATTAACAATATCAAAGAATTTTGAGTATTCATCTTATAATATAATAAAGGGCTAATGTCAAAAGACTCCTTGAAGGTTTGGGGTCATTCTCAATATGGGCCCCCGAGTTTCAATTTCATCAATTTACACTCAATGATTTTCAAATATGACCAATTTAAGCCTTCTGTTAAGTTAACTATTTCGTCAGACGTTAACTGATGATGTGTCCACTGTAGGACCCATCAATTTCTTAAAATTATTAATAAATCAATTATATAATATAATATAATAACATTAAAAAATCTTTGAAAAGAAAAAAAACACTTCCTCTCTTCATCCCTCCCTTTCTCTCCATCTCCCTTCTCCTCCCAACTCTCCTACCCCACCCCCCTCTCCCTCCGATGAATCCAATCACCCACACCTCATCTCCGAAGCCCAGCTCCACCATCTACTACTCCTTCGAGCTAGTCCAACTCGAAGGCCGAGGACAATGGCGTATCTCGCTCTTTGAAGAAAGATCTTCTTCAACGGTGGCTGTAGAGAGGAAGACGATGCGACAACCCCTCTGGCCCTGGAAGAATCACTGTCGTTGGCATCGGCTAAGAGGAGATCCCGATTGAAAATCGAAGGCAGATCCTTCTTGATTGCTAGCAGGTATGGCCTCTCTGATACCTAAAAAGCACGTACCCTCGATGCCCTCTATACCCTCTACGATACTTGGATGAAGGGTGGGCATGGCCTTCTTGCTATTCAACAAGGCCAAGTAGCTTTGAAATTAGAAATGGGAAGAATGCAAACCTTATCTCAGTTTGTAGGTTCTTTTCTTTGGTTGTGCTGCCAGATATATTTAAAATGTTACAAACTCTTTTCTTTTTCTCTTTTGATTTTAGCTTTTAATCTGCTACTATATATAATACTTCCATCTATCCCTCGCTTTTTGGTGTGTGTGTTTAGACTTAGCTATGCTAGAGATTATGATCGTAGCGACCTTACCTGCTCCACATATATAATTCAAGAAATGAAATGGCTTGAATTGTAAAGGAAACTTTATCTAATTTCCTAGAAAAGAATTAGATGGTATGAAAGTGAAGCATAATTTGGATGTTGCAAGAGTTCATAATTTGGATGTTGCAAGAATTTTCTTTTCATATTCATGTTTCAGATCATATGAAACCAAGTCAGATCCTTCTTCAAAGAGCGAGATACGCCGTCATCCTCGGCCTCTGAGTTTGGACAAGCTCGAAGGAGTAGTAGATGGTGGAGATGTGCTTTGG